TGGGGTTCGGGAAGATGTCAGAACAAATCCCCCTTCAGTGTGCAAGACTCCGTGTATACAGAGGGCTGGGAAATAGCCTCGTCTAATTGCTCGGCTTTGTGGACTGGTACGTTTGTGGAGTACCTGTCTGTCTGTCCTGCTGTTGACCATGCTGAAGTAGGTCTGGGGTATATGTTACGTTTGGTTGAATGAGCCTATTCATGTCCCACCACAAATTAATACAGGGAGGTGACGGATCTACTGGGAAACCTGGGAGCTGTCAACTCTTTTGAAGACAGACTATTAAAGTAGCATTTATGAAAATGGGGACAACCACAAGGCTGGTGACACTAGAGCTTCAGGAAGTTCGTCGCTAGACTAAGTCTGTAGAGAAAACCCCCCCAGTGGCATACAAAGCCATCTCCCCACTTTTCAAAAATAGGTTTTTAAGCTAGCATTCTGGAAACATCTATGACTTCATTTGGCTTACTTGGCCATGGACACGGGCTTAAATAAACATCGGTTACAATATATTTATTCCCCTTAGGCCTTATTCCGTTAAAAAAAATCATTAGAGATGCAAGGAAAATCTTTCAAAGTGATCATTACAGCCAGAGATTATACAAATAGATCTCTTAGGGTACAGAAACAGTGCTTCATTACGCAGAGGCAAAAGTTCTAAGGATTTCAGTCAACATTAGCTCAGTAAGGTTAAAAAATATATATAAAAATAATACAAAAACGAAAACAAAAAATCAAAGGATAATAGTTGGTCCTGTGAGGCACTCTCGAAAGGTAAAAAAAGTTTTTTTTAACTTGAGATCATCAATAATAAAAATATTCTTCCTTATTAGATCTATAAAACCTAACGCTCATTGACCATTAGCATTTTGAGAAAGAATAGGCTTTGAGCAATGATGTTCTGATTCACAGAAGCCCCTCTCTTCTCAAAGAGGATGGGCAAGACCCAGTTTCGTTCCAGCTGTGTTTCCAGGGCCTCCTTTCTCCCAATTAGCTTTGGACTCGGGCTCCGTGTGAAACTGACGACTCGCGCAGAACGACTGCTCAGCGAAAGCTACAACCCACATTCAACTTGAAGACTTAAAGACTCAACAAGTCAGCATTTTCTATCGTCTTTACACTCTCCTGCACGTCCTTATGTGGTTTTATATTTGCATGGCCCCATAGGGGCAGACCTTCTTAGAGGCAAAGGCCTGTGAAGTCTGGGCAGATGGGGACCACCTAGCCACTCCCTTCTGTATACAGAGGAGTGAACGGACCAAGAGCACAGCTGTGTCCCCACCAGACACATAGATGGACACATGAGACAAGAGCCTAGTTTGCTCTTCTCCAGAAGAAGTGAAAAGTCTTAATTCCACCCTCTAAACATTTACCTTGAAGATACCTTATTTATAGTAGAAATACCTTTAAAAAAGTACCAAATGCGCAGTTTCCAGGGTGTCTTGAACTCAGTCTCCAGGACTTTGTCCTAAAAATGGCTCTACTTTTTGATAGCTGAGAGAGGAAAATCTATAAAATGATAATGTCTATGAAAATGGCTAATGATGCAATTTAATACCGAACATCTCACCCTCCGAAGTGCCCTGCCCTTGAAGAGCTGAGATCGCTCATCTGTGAGGATGAAGGTTTTCTGGGTGGCAGAGGCGAGTATCTGCTTTGGAAGAAGATGGCGTTTGGGAAAAGGCCGCTGGCTGTGAGAACCGGGGTGTTACACAAGTTTGTCACCATGTGGAGAGAAGACAATGACACAGGATGAAACCTCTGCCTTTGGGTTCCCACATGCAGAGGAAAACAAGCTTCCTCCTCCTCCTTGATTAACAACCACAATTTTCTCTTCCTCAGACATAGTGTTCCCATTTGCACACAGAAGACATTTCTTTCTAAGCGGATACATCTTGTATTTCCGAAGACAAAGATTAGGGAACTAAAAGTAAGGAGATTTAGAGTATGCAAAGCCCAATGAAAACTACAGATGTTAAAAATGACAGCCTTTCAAAGACTGTTTTATACAGATTTTATGTATTTCTACTACAAGAAAGCACCTTAAGATGTGCACGGATGAGCTGTCGTACCAGGGCTAGGCTCAGAATGTCATGGAATTTTGAGATGGGCGATTGAAGTGAAAAAATGTGAGAATAAGAAAATTAGAACTGAAAACGTCCCCACATCTATTTGTCACAAAGGTCCTTTTGAACTCTACAACTGTTAGTGTTTTGATATTAGACTCAGGGTAGACAGTCACGTACCACTAGATGGCACCATGAACAAATGATTGTTTTTTTTCACACCCAACTGGAGTAGGGCCGGGACATAGTCCATAGAACGGTTGATGAAGTGCCTCCCTGTGAAATGATCTGTCGCATCTGGACCTTCTAGGTTTGAGAGCAATCTAACAGCTATGACTTTACTCCAGAGGAGGAGGAGGAGATCAGAATTTGTAGTGAAGATCAACATAAACAGTATCTTGTATGTACAGAAGTTGTCATTTACTGGATAGGAGACATAACAGAGTCTATGACAGATAAGAACCTCAGTGACAAGAAATCAGTCACTCTTTCCTTTTCTGGCCATGGAAGGCGGAAGCAAAAAACAAGCATGTGAAGTGAACCCCAAGGGTTCTGAATAACTCCAGTAATACAGTCCCTGTTATGCTCAATATTTCTGCATTGGTGAATTTTTTAGTCAAAGTTTTTGGTATAAGTTCTAGAATAGATTTACCTGAATAGTCAGTTACATATGGCTCCCTCTACTTTTCACTAGGCATAGGAGTGCCTTTGAGCATTCAGTTCAGACCCCCTAGTTCTCGATTTCCATAGAAGGTTCCACAACCCCAGTACTGAGGAGTGATCTTGACAAGTTTATTTTGAGATGCAGCAACAGACAATAGCTCGCTTTCTTCCTCCTCCTCTTAAAAAAAAAATATATATATTTGATTTTTAATTTAGAATACAGTTTTACTCATTAGTACAAACATTATCTACTGAACTTTTTATTAGTACAATCTCTGCCTTCCGCTATCAGTGTAAGAAGTATTTTAAATATGGAAATCCAGGGGGTGGCCTGAGAGATTATTGGATATATGTCTAAAATAGAATAAATGAAAGGTAGGAGAGAAGAGGCTCCATGACAAGATATTAGTAGTTCCTCAATGGGGAGGATGGGAGAGTCTGTGAGTATCAAGAAATGACCAAATCACAAGAGGAAATTTATGTGGAAAGATGGAAGAAAACGTATAAATGATTTGTGATTCAAATCTAGTCAGCGACCTGGATACCTCCAGCCCCAGAGTCAACCACAGCCATGTTCTGAAGGTTCTGATTCATACACATGGGTGTTTATGGTTCAGTTTTGGTTTGGCTACTGGGCCGTGGACTCCTCAGTCCCTACCTGCTGAGTGAATTGAGTCCTTGTGTTCAAACAAAGAGCCTCTGATGATCCCAAGGAAACGTCATAGTTTACACAAAGTGGTCTGTTGACTAACATTTTGCAGGATAAAATTTTTTTAAAGGGCTAATTAAATAACCTTTGTAAATGCTACTGAGTATTATGAAAGCAGAGATTAAAGGGGGAGAAAAATAAACGCACCAAGTTACCACTGGTGGATGAACTCGTAGGAGTGGTCTTGATGTCAACAGACCAAAACAGAATTTGCAATTAGTCAGGAAGGCTAGGGGAATCCCAAGAGAGGACAATAAAGGGATGGCATCTCTCAGAGAACAGCGTAATGCAGTGACGCAAAGACAAGACTTCAGCCGAACAAATACAGTGCGGGTTAGAATAAATCCCTTTCTATTAGGAACGATTTGAAACACATAATGTAGCCCGGGCAAAAGACTAGCTGACTATCTAAATGACCCAGGTCAGAGTTCATTGTGATCTTCAGACCGATGAATGAGACTGGACACATCCCAGTGGAAGTTGAGCATCTGAGAACCGTGAGATGATCTAATCCACCCCCCCCTTCCTCTTCTAGGTGCAGAAACTGAGGGCCAGTGAGGTTGGTTAAATGACTCTCCCAAGGGTGGCACAGCCAGACAGTGACAAACCCAGAAGGAGAATTGGTTCCTGATCTCCAAAGTCTGTTCCTACAACCCCATGGCCTCGCGACCACAATAGTAAGGTAAGTGAACTTTATAGAGGAGAAGGATCCTGCCAAGGTGAGACAGGTCTAGTCAATACCCAAATACTTGCTACCACGAACAGAAGTTAAAAGAAAATCCTTTTACTAGAGTACTTGTAAATACCAATCACTTCAAATTGTGTATCACAAACACGTTGTGAAGAAATGCTCGTTTGTGTGGTTGAACACGAATCGTGGTCTCTTCCCTGCAACGCTACAGCTTTCTTCCTGAAGGGCCCCAGAAGGTTCCCTCGAAGGAACAAGAGTCTTAGTTATTTCTGTTTTACACTTAGATTCTCCACTTCCCTGATACAAAACCAGTAACACTGCTTCTACACGTTCTAGAAACAGAACACCGATGGGAGGATTATCTGAGACACTCGATGCACACGGTTGGTAGCAAAAGTCTGTGATTTCTCTGTAAATGACTAATCTGGAATAGACACAATAAACCGTCCACAGCTTCAAACGATTTGAACAAAAATAGAACAGCCATGGACAGCGTCTGTACCCCTGTCCAACTGGATGTAAACAACATTTGTAGAAATCGGGTTTGTTAAGAAAGTTTATCCACAGATCTGGATAGCAATAAAAACCGTTTCCTAGGAAACTGTAAGATCCTGTACCACACAGCCCAACAAAGAGGAAGATTAGGTTGATGTCTAAATTCAAGGTACAAATTTACACAATTTTTCTCAACTCCTGTGATGATGTCCGGGTGCCTCGGGCATGGATAGTGGAGGGCGTAGCTGTTTGTCTCCCGCTGCGATCTTGCTTGGGAAGCTCCTTGGTCTGGGCTGGACTCCTCCTCGGCTGTGAGTCCCCTACCCAGCCACAGACTCCCTGTGCGTGTTCATCCTTTGTCCTCAGTTCCAGATGCTCAATACTGCCCTTCTCCTGCTAAAGACACTACCGTTTCATGTCTTCCCATTTCTTCCAAGACGGCCGCCAGCATGCTCAGGTTTCCATCTGGGAAGTTCTGTGCTTCCCAGAGGTCCAGGATGACGCCAGTCGGGCTGGATTTGGTGGCGAAGTAATTCAAGTACCTGTCATTGGGAAAGGTGTGTGACTTAGAAATCTATTTTCTCTTTCCTTTTGCCTCAGCTAAACCCTCCCACCCGAGTCTCGGGACCCAGTGTGGTTGACAGCGAGCTGCCCTAAAGAACTAGCCAATCTGTAATTAGATCAGCCCCCAGAGAAGAGACGTGATGTTTAACTTTGTTAACCTCAACTCTGAGTAAGATAATTTAAGAGACAGGATGTCTACGGGTCACATCCCAAACAGGAAAGCGAGAGCCTTGTGTTTTCTCTGCAGCCCAGGCTCTGATGATCTTTGACAGGTCACGCCAGCTCTTTTGCTGGGCAGGGAAGGCGACATTCTACAAAGCAGGGGCCTCTTTATAACTTAATTATTCCTTAAACGTTAGGTCCTGCTCCATTGCAGCTGAGGAACAATAATCACTTTAGCCAGTGGATATATTATTGAGGGAGATTTAGCCCATCAGCTTTGCAAAGTGGATCACAAAACGCGATACTTACAAATGAGCCCAGAATCGGGCTTGCACACACAGTGCTAAGAAGGAGCATCAGATTAATGTATTGTAGGGTGAAAAAGTAAATAGATGTGCACATGAAAAACAATGAATGTTCCCTTACGTCTATCAGTCCTGGAGCCCGGCCACACCCACCTGTCCAGGCTGAGCTTATGGGCCAGCATCCTCCAGTCGTGGCCTCTGGTCTGCGGGGCGTCCAGGCTGCTGCAGAGCTTTTGCCGGATGGGGAGAGGGATGCTGAACGCACTCGGCCCTGGGACAGCGGTGACCGTGCTCGCAGGATCCAGCAGCGGCAAATCGAGGCCAGTAGGTTCCTGGCGTTCAGGGACAGGAAGAACATGGCATTATGTCTCGAGACAAAAGCAATCCCTATGGAACCAATAACCTACCTAATACCTTGCTTTGGGCACAAAGAATAAGTACTGTCATTCTCTGCAGTAAGAATGGCTTCTTCCAGGCCTGAAAGTTGGGAGGCACTGTATGTAAGCTGGCTGAGAAGAGGTACATAGATTTGGAGCTAACTTTGCATGGCGCCAGATTTATGGGTCTTGCGTGAGGACTGGGCTGGAATGGCAAGCTCTGGTATGATTCAATAACACCTTTTCCAATGGGATTCTCCAGGAAGGGAGGGAATACCGACGCTCTTACAGGTTTAGATTTCAGGAGGGGAAAATGTTCAAAAGGGCAATTCTATGAGAACGAACAGATCTGAGATTAGAAGGCTGAAAAGTTGAAACTGTTTGATCCCGAGGGTAAAGCCCTGGGCAAATGCCCGAGTAAATTATCCTGCCTCCAACCCCTGCAGAAGATGGCTCAGTTCTGCTTTTGGTGAATGAAATGGAACATAGCTCTCCTCTAAATGCTATCAATTTCAGACTAATTTTTTTTAAAAGAAAATGGTAAACATGGTATATTATTGCCTTAGGGCAAGCTGTTAATGACATCCTCCAATTGCTGTACACCCTTTTTTTTAAAAAAAAAGATCTAATTTTAGTAGAGAAAACCATAAATTGGCTCTTAAAATAGTTTCAGCTCATAAAACAGCATTAATGCAAAATCTGAATTTCATCTGCAGGAGAAAAGTCTAATCATTTTCCGATCATTTCTGCTGGTTAGAAAAGCAAAAGCAAATGTTGCCTGGGAACTATTAAAGCAATGAAAGAAAAATCTACTTTAAATGTCATCCCTTTTTCTAAAACAGGTGACTCCTTGGTGTGCATAGTTGCTGGAGGTTACACTAGCCACACAGGATTTCAGCCACCATGAAGTATCCGAGTGCCCAGCTCAGGGGGACAGCGCGAACCCTGCCGCAGTGACCTCTCCAGCTGCAGGAGATGGGGTGGATCATGACCTGCAGCTCTTTCCCGGTAAGGCACAGAGTTCCTTCCAAGGGAATGAAGACAGAGGGTTTTTGACCCCCGGGGTTAAAGAAAGGCAGCCACAAGAGTGACACAGGGCACGCGCCATGTTTACCAAGTGCCCCGATGCCTATATTGGGCATAGGAGGATGGGTTGGAGGTGACGAGAAGTCACAGGCCATTTGCACGAGTCTTGCTTCTTTCCTGCACAATAATAACAAGGCCAAAAAGGACTCCCACCTCATCCCCTATTACACCACAACCCCACATGGCAGGGGAGGTTATGGTCTGCACAGGGCACGCTCTGCTGTTTGTAGTGCTGAGACTGTGTCACCAGAGAGTCTCTGAACTCTTGGCCACAGGAGCTCCCTCCAGCTGACTGTGATCCCGCGCTTCTGCCAGACTAACCTTCCTAAAGTGCTTCCCCCACTGCACAGCCTGTCCCCAACCTTTCTGGGGGTACCCCATCACTCTCCCCAAGGACCACTCAAAGTTCTTCTGCCCTTTCCATTAACCTCTCCAAGCCTGGTCCAAAAGACACGTGCCCAGCAGCCCCCGAGCAAGCCCGCCCCAAGGCATCAGGCCCGGAGGTCTCTTGGGCTCTGCTGCCTTCCTCCCCTAGCGTGCTGGTCGTATGCACGCGCCACTCGCTTTGATTTCCCGAATCTCCTGGAGGTGAGTCTATTTCTGCCATCTTCAGAACCCCTGTGACACTCAGCACCATGTTCTTCCCATAGAAGCGACTCAGTTAATAGTTGTTGATGTGCAAGAAAATATTTTTTCCTAGTACAGAAAGAAGATGCTGGACGCCCACCCACAGAGAACCGTGTCGCGCTTCCTGCCAAGGCTTTGTTAAATCCTGAAGTTAAAGGTCAAAGACAGGCGTGGGTCTCAGGAAGGTCTGAGCACAGATCCGCGTTGTTCCCCTCCGCTTGGTGAACAGAGCGCCATCACGTTCCCCGTGGGTGACGCAGTCCTGAGCTGTCTAACCCTGGCGATGCTGCACATTCATTTCTGTGCAGATGAAAGCAGCTGAATGGGACATAATTTCTTGTCTCTTAGCAGACGGCTGACGATAGCCTTGGAGGAGAAAGAAAACTACCTATACACACACACACATTTCATCCGGTGATTCCAGCTGCTCTTAGCCCTTCCTTTACTTCCAGGTGAAAGTAGAGTCGATGCTCACAGAATGCTTATTACGATAATCGCTCACGATAGTGGGACCATCTGCCTTTGATGTTACGACTCCCTTAGTTAAACACATGATTTTTCCAACAGTAACCAGACAGCAGTTCTGAAACAACTTTCCACTCCCATATGCTGGCTCTTCCTGAAGTTACTTAGAAGAACTAGATTTCCCAGTGGCCAGTATGAGCAGGTTATGGAAGACGGAGGAGGTAAGCAGAGGGGATGGCTGTCGCAGAGTGAGGCGACTTTGTACATTTTTACTATTCTACTTGGTCTACGCAAACATGCCAGGCAATGCTACTTAATAAGACGTTATAAGGCCTAGCAAATGTAAGAAATTCTAATAACTGCCATTATTATCTATTATTAAAGCATTCATACCGCCTCCTAAAGCTGCACCTTTTCCAGGGTGCAGAGCCCAGAACTAGAGCAACATTGGGAAAACCAGCTTGGGGATATACACCATCTTCTTCTTCCCCCCGAGCTAACTTTATATTTACATAGGAACTGAGTTTCCTTTTGTTTGGTGGTTTTGGTAAAAGTGAATCTCAAGCTTCAGCTGAGGACAGATTCTATGATTGGAATGGCAGCGTTTACCCAAGAGCCTTGTCACGCTAAGGGCATCAATGCCAACAATAAGAAGGGTGAACATGTACTAAGTACAGTAAGGTGTACTAACCACGAACTATGGGCCAAATTCTGTTTGGAGTATTTACTAACAGTCATCAAACTGGTATAATATGATACCAATTTACTCAGGGAAACTGAGGAAAGAAGAGATTAAGCAATGCCTATACCCCCATGGAACTATCTATTTGGGAATCTATAGCTAAAATGAAACACACGGCAGGGAGAAACTAAAGTCCCTCTCCCCTATGCCATTTTTTCTTTCAGTAGCAATGGGTAGCCGCCTGGTCCCTCTCTCTGTGCTTGTCTATGAAACAAAAGACTAAAAAAAAAATCTTTATCATCTTTTGCATTCATTCATGCCACTACTTTGTCTTCCAGATGTTTCCATTCTTAAGCTTCATCTCTGTGAAATTAAAGGCTCTGTCTCTAGCTGAGGCATCCATCTCTGGCCAAAGCACCCTGAACGAGACAATGGCGTGGGGGGCAGCCCATGTCTAGCAAGCCAGCTCCTCCTTGGGAGACAGGACTGGGCCCCCAGCCCACCTGCCATCTTGCCCTGTGACCCTAGGAAGGAGCGCTGTTCAGAAGAAAGAAACCACCACTGGAGCCTTTCTCGGCTCGTTCATGGTTTGTCAGTCGTATTGTGCCCTTTCTCGGGGGTTTTGATGAGGATGCGGGTGTCAGAGCTCTCCGGAGCCCATTGTTCATCGGCACACACAGCCCTGCTCTCCGACGACGTCAGAACCCGCAACCACGCACCGGGCGCTGCATTCAAATGCTAACCACGACGGCGGGATGCGGTGACCCAGAAGTAAAAGCCACCGAGTGCCCCTAAATCCCCAAAGTCATCTCGACTCCAGTCTCTTCTTTCCCTCCCTCCTGGCAATACGCTTGTCTGTCACACTGGGCAGACGCCTCCCACACGGCTGGTCCCTTCCAGCAGACTACCACCAACTTGCAAAAGAAATCCTCCCTCCTCTATGTTGGCACAAGAAAGTCCTTACAACTGTGATCACACTATGCAAAACTGCCCTTTTTCTGGGAGGACGTGGCAGCCCTGGCGGGGGACAGAGCAGCTCCCTTTCATTGGTGGCTGCATCTGAGCCCCCTTTTCAACCCCCAGCAACTGTGCACGCTGAACAGAAAGCAAGCATCAAAGGCCCAGACCTCCTCGCCCCCCTCCAAAATTCCACAGCCTTTGTCGTCGCCGGAGCTCGGTGGTTATTGAACTTTGTAGACCTGCTGGGCCCGCGCAGTGAGAACACCCTCCTGCGCCTGGGAGATAGCACTGGGCCTGGCGGTTGCCATGGCACCCTGACACCGAAATCATTCCTTATGAATGTCACCGGGGTCTGTGACTAAAGTTGTTTATGAGTCAAAAGTCACACGAAACTGCAGGAGGAAATGAGGACCGCACCTCGGCGGGCTGTGGGAAAGAAGGATGGGGTGTCGTGGAGGCTGAGGGAGACGGTTTTTAAATACAACATGTGGAACAAGACACACTGACATTCCATTCGTCACCGTGCATGCGACAGTGAGGGGGAGGCAGGATTTAATCCCACACTGGCCTGCTCTAGTTTTAAAATACGACAACCTTGTGCTTCGGGCACAGCAAGCAGCACAGGGCTGGGCTCCCCAAGGCAACCTTTGGCCACGCGACACCTGCTCGGCCCTTTGTGTCCCCAGGGGGAAGGGTTACCGCTCTGCAAGCCCTGGGACCCAAGCCAGCAGATAAGGAAGGTCATGGGCACCTCCTCTTTCCTTACAGAGAAGTCTCAAGCAGCAGTGGTCACTCTTGGTTCTGTCACACGGACACACAAAAGTGACCAGCTGAAGTGTGCGAAGATCACAGCAAAGCTGGAGGCCACCAGCAGGAAACACATCTATGTTACTTCTGTTCCCACCCCAGAGAAAAGGACAGCTCTCCTCGTATTTGGAGAATGAGGGATGAGAGAGAAAGGAGACCAAGAGATTTCTCTTATCTACTTGGAAATACAAAGGGAGAGACAACAGGGGCAGAGGTCGGTCTCTGTCCCCTCAACCCATTCAGCAGCACGGCCTGGGCACCAGGCAGAAAGGGAGGGAAGAGCCAGATGGAAGATGCGGGAACATGGCTCAGCAAGGGATGCTTTGGGAGGAGTGACTCCATGTGCACGCTACTTAAGTTAAACCTTATCCTTGACATTCAGATCTGTTTTTAAAAGTTAGAACACGATGTCGTAAAAAAGACAACTTGTGTTTCAAAAAGGATTCCTCATAATGAGCTTTTGTGCATCTCGCTCCCCACGTGCATTTAAAATATTGTCCTATTAAACAGGACACATGGAAGCCTTTGAGGACTTGGCCTGTGCGAGACACCCTCGCAGCCCACGCTGTCCCTCCTCCCGGGCCCGGACGGACGCGAGCTGCTCACCTCCGCCACGGCGCAGTTCAGCTGGAAGATCTGCCCTTCTCCCTCCACCTGCCGCACGCAGAGCTTGCAGACCAGCTCCGCCGTGTTCAGGCTGAATCTTTCCAGAGTAAAGGTGCAGTGGAGGTTTCTCTGAGACCCGCTCCAGATATGGTAAAAAGGAATTTCCTGAAGGAAACGAAAGCGTTAACCACAAATGAGGCATTAACACCAAAAAGAACGATCACATCCTCTCAGTATCACACATACATCACCTCACAAAGCCCTGGGTGTCAGCACACCAGGACCACCTGCTCACATGAGAAACCTGAGGCCCAGAGAGGTTCAGTAACTTACCCAAAGCTACACAGCAAGTGAGTGGCAGAGCTGAGATTCGAACCTAGGGAGTCAGCCTCATAGAATCCATGTAACCTAACCAGTGTGCCACGTGTCTCTAATTTACAAAAGGAGTCATTGTAAATGATGAAAAAGAAAAGTTTATAATAAATTCCCAAAATAGAACTTACACACACCAGTCGTTGCTCATTAAAAGGAATCCCCGCCGTGGCATTCTGAGGAAAGCACAGGCCAAAGGATAATGCCCTGATGCCTTTCATGCTAGAATCCTCCTCCGATAGGACAAGGGAAAGCCCATACCCCCTCCAGCTGAAGACTCAATTAGCTGCCACACACACACAAAAAATTCTTGGCTTAAAAAGCACCCAGCCTCTAAAAGTCTAGACCACCTTACAGAGCCCAACCTGGAATCTGTTTTCAATAAAGGAAAGGTTGATCCGTGAGAGACGGAAGAATATGGTGAGCAAGAGCGCCTCGCTCTGGCTAACTTGGGAATGTGGGCCAAGTTACTTAACATTTCCAGGCCTCAGTTTCCTCATCTGCAAAAGAGAAGCAAAGAGTATCTCATTCATAGACGTGCTGGGGTTAAATGAGGTAAAACAAAGTGCGTAAGACAGTGTCTGGCAGATGGTCAGCGTTCGGCCACAGTTAGCTTTAACTAATAGCATATTATTATCATTATTATTAAAATAGTATATTCCATTACGATTGTATAAAAGAAGTTGCTTATCAAAGGGGGAGGTTTGTGTCAGTTGCAACAGGGAGGAATGAAGCCAAGGAAGAGATGTAACGAGAAAGTCACAAGCCCGATCTCTCGATCACGTGCCGAGCTACAGCTCAGCTGTGTAACAGAAGGCTCTACCGTGCAACCCCCCCAAAGCTCACGATTGTTAATAAACTAGGATGTTTGTTTCCCATCACTGATGTGCAAGCACTTGACATATGAGAGTAAGAAGGAAGCTGAGAAGTCTTCCCCTCAGTCCTTCTAGAATGTTCGGTAACTGAACTGCAGTTCGGCTGCAGTGCTGGGGTGGGGTTGGATGTGTGTGGGTACAGACACGGCTCCCCTAAATGTGTCCTCATCTCCCAGGACAAGGCTCACCATCCCATCAGAATAGCGTCCTGAGAGCTCGGGTTGATGGGTAGAGGGGAAAACTTCTCGAGAGTCCCATGATTGTCCCACAGGTACGTACAATAGCCAGTATGCATGTACGTGGAGACCTGTGGAAGCAGTATTTTTATGCCTGTTATTGAATCAATCCTGACCAGGTTTCCCTTTTACATGCTATTTCAGTCCCCAAACTGGAGTTCCTTTAAGTTTTCCAGATAAGGGTACTGGCCTAGCAAGGCTGAAACCTAATTTGTGTCGCATGGTGTCAAAAAGTCCCTCTGTGTTTTTCTATGAATGCTTTTGAGGCTGTTTTTAAGCAGTTCAGTGTGAATGTTTACTATGCAAATTAATTGAAATGGTGGAATTAGAAGTCTTTTATATTTACTAGAAATAAAATAATAATAGCACAGTTTTTTAAAGAATTTAAAAATGCATTTTTCAAAAATCC